TCATATAGTCATATAGCCACCATCTCTGTGAGCCTATCACATACGTATTTTAAATATTTGACTTACCATTCGCATTTTTATATGCCTATCCCTTAACAGATTACTGTGATTACTATTTTTAATATTTTTGGTTTTTTTCTTCCTATGTTATTAAATACATATACAGAGAATAAAAATATATTTCTATGTAATTTTACAACCCTTCTCACCATAGATACTCTGTATAATATAAAATTCTTGGGCCAGTTACTGCAACTCTCTGTCAAGGTCAATGGCACTGCACAACTTCAGGAACTGTTAATTACACAATACTCTCTGTGAATGGGCCCTGGAGTCATGATGAGTGCAGTGGTGTAGAAGCACTTTGTAATCATTGTGTCTGGGTTTTATTGTCTATAAAACAGACGTTGCTGGGCTGGGAATGTGGCTCAGTGGTAGAGTACTTGCCTTGCATGCATGAGGTCCTGGGTTCGATTCTCAGCACCACATAAGCAGAAAAGGCCAGAAGTGGCACTATGGCTCAAGTGGTAGAGCACTAGCCTCGAGCTGAAGTGCTGAGGGACAGTGCCCAGGCCCAGAGTTCAGGCCCCACGACTGACCAAAAAAAAAAACAGACATTGCTATTGGGAAGTGAATGAACATTTAAAACAAAGTCTGGCATATAGCTGTATATCTTGATAGCTGTTAGTATGGCAGTGATGGAGTTGTCATCATCATCGTCATCATCATCCCCTGACTTTTCCCCAGACCTCCTTAACCAAGCTGTGCACATATGATGGTCCATTGTATGTCAGTTGGCTAAACTACTAGCCAAACATTAAACTAAATGTTACTGTGAAGGCATTGTCAATGTACACTATAATGTCAACTACACTTTTCGCCCTTGTGACTAAAACATAATGAAACAACTTAAAAGACAGAACAACTTATTTTGGCTCATGCTATCACAAGTTTAACTTCGTATTCCTTGGCTCAGCTGACTCCGAGCCTATGCTGAGACAAAATTTTGGCAACTGAAGCATGTGGCAAAGGCTGCTCATCTCAAGGCAGAGAGGAAACAGAGAGAGACAGAGAGACAGAGTCCAGGGCAAGATACAGCCACCAAGGACATGCCTCCAGTGACTGACTTCCTCCAACAAGGCCCTCAACTTTCCAGACCCTCCAAAATAGCACCACCAGCTTGAGAACAAGCCTTTCTTGCTTCAGTGCATGAGCTTTTAGGGACCTTTCATACATATTCATGCAGTCCGTTGAAAGCCATCTGAGCACATGCAATTTTCTGGAAGAGAAGGAATTCTGCCTCACGGCTGCAGCATCAACTCTTACCCAAGTCTGCAGCCTGCCAATCTGCACCACAGATCCCAGACTTAACCATCCCCACCACTGTGGAAGTAATTCTTTAAATTATTCTATATAGATATACAAACAGAAGGAGCAGGGGGGAGAGACAGAAAAAGATAGACACAGACCAAAACCAAAACATTGTTTCCCTGGAGAACCCGGAACAATATTGCCTTTCATTCCTGGCCTCCATTGTGTCTGGTCTGCATGAAAGAACAGCTTCTCATCTGAGCCTGGGTTTGTGTACCTAACTCCCACCCCTGCCACCAGCCCTGCCAATCCAGGCTGGATCATGTTCTATATTGCTTAACCCTACATTGACTTTCTGTGGCATTTCAAGTGAAGGCCCACCTCCCTGGAGGCTGGATATAGTCACATTTCATGGCACTCAGCTTTCAACTCTTTGACTCCTGCCACCAGGGCTTTCTCTTGGCTGCTCCAGCGTTCCCAGCTCATTTGGACCTCAGAACTTTATGTCTGCTCTTATCTCTCCATGAGCCACCTAACCCTGCATGCTTCACATAACTACCTGACAGGCCTTTAAGGCTTTCTGAAAACATGACCCCATCCAAGTCCTTCGAGTATTATCTCCTGGTCTTCTCTACCAATGCTCTCTGTTTTGTTTGTGCAGTGAACTTATTTATGATTTTATATTTGTTTGTGATATAGTCACTTATTATCTGTCTTCCTATTAGTACATCCTCTGGACCTAGTCCAAGAAGAAGATTCATTGACAGTTATGTGGGGGATTAAATGGGGTCTTGCAGCAACTATGCAGTCTCTTTGTTCTATGGTCCTCATCCATTGCTGAAGGTGCACTATGGGGGAGAGAGAACAGCAATGGTAAAGTGTTTGCCTAGCAGGCCTCATGCTCCAGTCAATCGTCAGCTCTGAAGGGAATAAAATTGCTAACTGTAGGTGCTGTCTCCCAGCCTAAGGCTATCCCTAAGCTTAAAGATTATTTTTCTAAGAAGGTATGTGATTTTGTAAAGATGCAGCAGCTACACAAAGTCAAATTCAGAAAGCCTCATTTAATGAGTGTAAATAATAAAATAAGAATTTTATTAAAGAGCCCATCGTTAGATATATTTTTCAAGTCTCTCTCATTACTCTCATGTCTCCTCTGCCAACGCTTCTTTGTCTTCATTGAATGCACCTGGGTTTTCCATCTGTATTGTAGAAATCAACTTAGGTTTTCTTTCCATTAAAAAAGGGGGTCTCTGTTTTGTAAGATAAGTGAGTTACATAAAAGGTGGTCCACAATTATCACCTTTACCTTGGCCAACTTAGGGAAGCAGAAAAATCTATCAACACTCCCCCATTAAAAATGTTTGTCTTCTCACATACAAGACTTCAAATTGATTAATGGCATCTTCTTAATCATTTCCATGAGACATGTAAATGGCATTGTTCAATTTGTTGATGGAAACTATACATAGGCAACCTGTGTGGGGCATAAGAAATGGCCTATTATCTATGCTAGAAAGCACAGTGTTTGTCTTTCCCACATATTTCAGGTAACTGAGAGATTCTGAGGTAACTGAGAGATTCTCAGTTACCTGACAGAAGCTATGAAACTACTAGAAGGAATCCAGATACAAATTAGAATCCAGTTGGCTACACTCCAAGTCATCCATCTATGTGGAATTGAGTTCTACGTCTGATGTTTTAAGCTATGCTGTTTAATGAGTTGTATGCCATTATTAAATGCTGCAGATAATTTCTGTGCTCGATGTATTTGCTTTTTGAAAAAAACTAGTTTGTATGATTTGAGTGACAACTATCCATTTTTCTTTACACATCTTAGCAACAAAAAGAAAACATGCAAAGAGCTGAAATGAGAAAAAGACAGATCTGTTTTCTACTCCCATTTCAACTTTGTGTGACTTGAACAAGGCAATTTATTTTCCTGTCCTTTTAATTTTCCAGTTTAAAAAAGGGTCAGCAGCAGCTGCTCCCTGAAGTCCCAGAGGTAACGGGATAAAGTCAAATCCACTTCCCAGAAACACCTTTACAATGAAACTGCTACACATAGAAAATGTCAAATTTCTATATCTTATACAAGCCTATAGCAATTCTCACTGTTCCACCCTTGCTACTAGAAGTCTTCTTCAATAGTCTTCAGCTTTCTGGCTGTTTATTAGTGGCTGCTATGCTGAGATTTCTCTTGTAGAGACAACTGTTTTCCTGTCATGACAACTTAGGACAAAGGCCAGAAGTTTGGTAGTTAGGCTATTGGGAACAGGACTGTTCCAATTATTTTATGTGTTTTCCTATACCCCAGGGACGATGAAGTGTTAAATGCCAGCCAACACTCACATTTATGGTTTGATTTATTTATATGGAAAAAGGTTTATTCTTATTAGCTGGCACTGCTTGAAGCAATTTCTAAACAATGTCCCACCAAAAACAACCATATTTTCAATGCCTGGTAAAACGATAAAATACAAGTTCCATTTCTGATGCCCAAATCCCAGGTCTCCATATGTCAGTGTTCATCATGGGTGGTAATAGTCCAGGCAGAATCCACCCAAATCCATCCCTGGGCATTCATCCAGCCAGGACACACTGCAGTGAGGGATCAGCCAGCCCATCCTCAGCCAAAGAATAACGTAACCGAGTGCCAGATCCAGGTGGAGGGTTCAAAGGGATTGAGCTGTAGCAGCAAAACATTAGCCGGTACCCACTGACATTCAGAGCAAGCATGTCACCAATAAAATACAGCTCTGTTCTCCACAGCTTTGGAACATTCCAGGGTTTGCAAAGTGCATGCCTACACAAGCACAAGCAACAAAATTATATATGATAAGGTAAGGTGTGTGGGTAGAGTGAAGGACAGGCAATGTGAACTGTCCAATGAGTCCAAGCACATAAAATGTGCATTCTTTTTTCTGCTCATTTACTGAGAGCTAGTATCTAAAGGAAATACTGATTGGTCCAGGGGCCAGCTGCAGTATGGTGCCACCTGGTGGAAGTTGTCCGCCATAGATTTCTATACCAGAGCCCTGGGGCTGGAAGGGATTTACAGAACATCTTCGGGGACATCAAATCTTCAGATGATCTGGTATCATCTGCTAAACTTGGAAGCCTGACCAAGGGGCATGATACCTCTGCATAGACTACCTCTGTCTACGTGTGTGGGGCCTCCTTCTCTGCCATAGCCTCTGCTACCACCTAACAAGTTAAACTCACCACTGGGAACTCTGTAGCCACCATCATCTCAGACTGCCCACTTGGATCCACTTCTAGTGACCAGTTCTCCTTTACTTCCCCACTAACGCAGTCAAGTCACTTTGTGTTTACAGGACATGCCAAGAAGATGGAGTCCATTTGTATCTTTTAACCTTGAATGGAGTAGTGAATACTCTAAGGCCAGGGACTTTCCCTCTGTTTCAAAGGAGCTACCAGAGCCAGAAAGTTCTGTGTCTGTGATACTTAGCCCTGTCTACCCAGAAGAAACACCCTGAGAGCTCCTAATGCTCTAGTGCCCAGGTCTCTACTGCAGGCTAATTAGATCAGAAGCTCTGGGATGGGCTCCACACATTGGAATTTCTCAAGATTCCACAGGTCATTCCCAAAGCATAGCCAAGAGGGACAGCCATGCACTTCAAACTTGAACTTGCTTATGAAATCTCAGATTTTTGATTTGGCCCAATCAGGGTTGAGCCTGAGAATCTGCATCTCTAACAAGCCTCCAAAGGTCACTGGTATAGCTCAGCATTTGAGGTAATGAGCAGTATGTCACAGAGGTTATTTGAGAAGATGTTAAGTGTTTATGTTGCAGCGATATTGTAGAGATGGCTAATGCTCTGAAGGAGAGTAGGAGTGCATCAGTGCTCTTCAGTCTTTGTGTAGGAGCTGAAATCTTCCACCTACCATCTTCTAAACACAAGCATATGTAGCAAGTTAGAGGTGAAGATAGGAGACACACAGCCATGAGCATTTGTCTTCCTTCTTCCACTATTCCAAGGCATCTAGAGTCTCCAGTAAGTCCATTATGAAAACACTTAGATATTATTTAATAAACTGTAAATTTGGATTTCAGATGATGAGGATTTCTTCAGAAACCAAAACTGCTAAACCTGGATTAGTGAGCATTAAGGTATTAGTGCATTGAAGACCAGGAATCTGTGAGACTGGGGCTACATGGTCCATGTTAAACAAATTATCCTGTGAATGCTTCCAGCCCTATTCACTGCTTAAAAGAGTAAACTAGTTGGAATAAAGGTATGAATCCATTGCATGCAGCTTTCTTCTGAAGGTTCCGATAAGCACATCAGCAAGATTTAATGATCACAATGACTATACTGTTCCTCCTCCCCCATTTCTACACTACCTGGAACGCATCTCATTAAGTGGACAAAGCAGTTCCTTCTGTACTGCCTCTCCTTTCATTTCTGGCTCTTTCTCCAGCTCACTTCCAGTTCATTGCTGACCCTAGATCTCTTCTCCCAAGGAAGATATTATTCTTGAAAGCTCATAAAATCCTGCCTGGCAGGGATCTAGGATATATTTTGAAATGAAAGCCAACATAAGTGTGAAATCACACAAAATAGGATTATACTGGTTCATTGACCAGCTTTCTAAAATAATAGACACACGCATTTGAGTAACTCCAATAGCTAACTTGAGCTAACTATAAAATTTGGTAAAACAAAATTTCCCTCAAAAAAGTGTGAAGATGAAAGAAATGAGTTTACGGGCTTGGAAGGTGGCTTAGTGGTAGAGTGCTTGCCTATCATGTTTGAAGCCCTGGGTTCAATTTTTCAGTACCATATAAACAGAAAAGGCCAGAAGTAGTGCTGTGGTTCAAGTGTTAGAGTGCTAGCCTTGAGCAAAAGAAGCTCAGAGAAAGTGCCCAGGCCCTGAATTCAAGCCCCAGGACTGGCAAAAAAAAAAAAGAAATGAGTTTATTTTTATAATATTATAGTGATGAACTTTCATTCATCATACATTCCTCCTGATAAGTTAGACACTGCTTAGATTGAACTTTTGTGATTTATCAGCCTTGAGGGTTTGTTTGAACAAGATTCGGAAGGATATGTTTCATCTTGGGGCTTATCCAAGGGTTAAATCTATCATTTGTGTAAAAGTGAGGTTTTAGAAATGCCTGGGGGAAACAGGAAACTGCAAGTCTGGAGACCTATGATCCAAGACTTGTTGAAATCTTTTTTTTTCTGTAATCATTTTATTGTGATTAAAATGCAATAATATAAAAATATACCCATTTAATCATTTTAAAATGTACAATGCAATGGCATTAAGAATATTTACAATGTTGTATGACCAGTCATCGCTATCAATTTGATCATCCCAAACAGAAGATTTGTAGCCAGTTAAATAACAGGAGTTAACGAGTAGGAGTTACTGTTTAACTTCTGTCTCTTCCTGTCTTTATGGCATGTATTTCATATAAGTGGAATTCTACAATATTTGTCCTTCTGGTTTATTCACTTAGCATAATATTTTAAATGTTTACCCATATTTCAGAATTCCATTCCAATTTAGCTCTGAATGGCAGTTTGTTGCATAAATATACCACATTTGTTTATCCATGTATCTGGTTATTTTCAAGGTAGAGTCTTCCTTTAGGTCCCAGCCATCCTGGTCTGCAATGCTCATATTTGTGCTTCCCCAGTGTTCCTAGGAATGAGAAGCTTACACCACTGTACCTAGCCATTGATTGAGATGGAGTCTCACAAATTGTTATACCTGAGCTGGCCTAGAACTTTGATCACCTGATCTCCTATTACTTGTAATTATTCCTGCTTGAACATAGAAAAGCCAGTGCTTTAGTTGATATAACACTTTTTGCTGAAGTTAAGTCCTTTTTATTTGTGTTTCCAAATAAATAACAAAATTATTTTTCTTCTTTGAAAAAGGAAGAATAAAAAATATGCTGGGCACCGGCGGCTCACTCCCATAATCTTAGCTACTGAAGTGGCTGAGATCTGAGGATCAACTTTCAAAGCCAGCCCAAGCAGGAAAATCCACGAGATTCTTATCTCTAATAAACTAAAAGAAACAACAACAAAAAAAGGCACAAGTGGGACTGTGGCTCAAGTAGTCTAGTGCTACCTTGAGCAAAAAGAAGCTTAGGGACCGTGCCTAGGCCCTGAGTTCAAGCCCAAGACTTGCACACAAAAAAAAAGAAAGAAAGAAAGAAAAAAGACTGACAAAAGATGTTTTACTTTAGCATTACCCTAATGTCCTGATTCAGGTTTTCCCAAAGGATGTGTTGTTTTAAAATTCTGGTTTCCTTTCTTATTTAGGATTGGTAAGATCTGTAAATCAAAATAATCACCACTGGGAAAAAAACAGCTTTATTCCTCACAGCTCCTAAAGTGAAGGAACCTGTTCTCATACCACAGAGAAAGCTTTGACTGGGGTTTTCTCTGGAAAGAATATGCGAGGCTTGGTAAGCAAGTTGAGGATTGGCTAGCTTGAATTATTTCTGCAGGCTCTGCGCTATGGAAGTCCGATGCCTGGCTTTGAGTATTCAGGACAGAAGTGTCCTTTGGGTCTAACAAACCCCAAAAAAGCAGACAGGTATGGGGTATCAGTTATTAGTTTGCATGGGAAGGCATGTTACCAGGAGAGTGCGTCATTATCTCCAGGAATTAGTTAGACCTTCCTTACCAGCAAGGCTGCTGCTGCCAAATCATCGGATATAGACACCATAAAGCATGTTCAATACAGATTTTAATGAAGTCCTTCAACCACAACCCACCATGGGTTCCAGCAGGCACTCTTTGGTCTCAAAGATCTACAATCAGAAACAGCAGGGTTTTTCCATGCTAGCTGTTCATTAGAATAACTTGGGAAATTTACTAAAATCACTTGGAGAATTTTCTGCTCCCACAGCTAGGCTGATTGAATTGCCACCTCCAGACACTCATCGTTTCAGAAGCTCCCCAGTGGCTCTCCTAGGCATTTGGGGTTAGAACCACTGGTTAAAGATAATATTTCTCAAGAATCTGAACCAGGAACAGTAGCAGCAGCACCTGGGAACATGCTATAAATGCTCAGCCCTCTGACACTGCACATTCCCTTCCAGTGGGTCTGTGGCTTGTTTAAGGGTAATAACCACTGGTGTAGAGAAGAAAGCATCAACTGAACTGCAGGGTTCTCCTATCAGAACCCTGAGCCCACACACATTCCCAGAAGCTCAGCCAGTGTGTTTAGGTCCATCAGTTTTCATGAGACAGAGCTGTTCTTCCAGGGAGAAGACAGGAGGCCTCTTGAAGGGTCTCAGCATCTTGCAACTCTCCTACCCCAGCCCACTCGGACCTTGTCTCTAAGTGCTTTGCTTAGAGTAAGCACCATTAGTAATCAACCTGACAGAGGGACTGACCCCATGTAGGAAGCATATCACATGGTCATTGCTGTGGCTACTGGAGGATCCAGCAGGTCCCAGAGAACACAATCCAGGTGACCTTGACAGCCTGCTGATCCAGGAGCTTGTCTGCACAGAACAAGGACATGCTCTTACTCTACTTCACTGAATCTCTGGTTCATTGCTTAAGAACTCTTCAAGTATTTTTAATATCCAGAGGGGACTGAAGAAGTGGCAAAGCTGTGGGGCTTCACAAACAAGTGCCTGGAAGCAAATTGAGTGTCCATAAAGGAGAAATTGAGTGCATGAGTGTGTTTTCACTGTTGGGAAAAAATTGCAGAAAATTAACATAAGCTATAAAGAGCAGGAAATAGAATCTGGGTGAATTTTCTCCAGTGACAAGAAACTGCTCTGGGGTCACCAACTTACATCCTGACCCCAACCCCTCACCACTACCAGTTAAGAATTGGGACAAATTAAAGAATTCTGAAGTTTGGTTTCCTGATCTACAAAATGGGATGATGATAATGTGCTTTAAAGACTAACTATGAGAATGCCAATAAAATGTTTGGCATTATTCTCTTCATAAGTACTCCAAACTTAGCTACCATTTCTGCTACGAATAATTTCACTATATTATTAGCACAGTGATTATCAGTATTTTGGGGGTTTTCATAACAAAATACATGAAGCATAGTGCTTTACAGAAAAAAAAAGAGAATTACTTAGCTCACAGTTCTAAAAGCCCAAGGACATAGCTCTGCTCAGCATCAGCTCAGCCCTAGAAGAAACCTCATGGTAGATGGTAGCACAGAGGCAGGAGTATTGCAAGAATGGGGAGCAACCTGTTCACCCAGTGATTCACACAAGGTGTTAAACTCTCGTTCTCACAAAGAACCAAAACTAGTCTCAATGGGGCCTGACCACTCCTAGAAAACAGCACTAATGCAGACACAAAAGCGGTTTTCCCATAACCTTGGAGCCTTCCACTAGACCCCACCTCTTAAAGATTCCACCTCTCCCAACAATGGGGACCAAGCTCCTAGCACATGAAGCTTTGAGAACCAAACCATAGCCATGAGCTAGAGTAAGTGTTCCCAAGGTAGTATTATTGCTGTTATTATTTGATTATCTTCTATTAGCAATGAGAAAAAAGTTAAAACTAGACAAATGAACCAAAGACTCCTTGACAAAAATTTGTCTTTTCTCAAAATGCAAAACCCTTACTTCTATCTTCTACCTAGCAGAAGCTTGCCTTTAACAAGACAGAATGCATATTGCTGCAGGAACATAGCTCAAAATCCATTCACTCTGAAGTCAACATGGTCCACACTGTACCCTATCACCCAGCCTTTCAGCCCAAAGCCTTTGAGCCAAGCCTTAACCACCCCTGCTATTTCTTAGACTGACCTTCCTGTCTACCTTGTTGCAGGTACCACATCTGTGTCACCGTGCTGATCTACTTCCTCCCCCTGCTGGTAATCGGCTATGCCTACACTGTGGTGGGGATCACACTGTGGGCCAGTGAGATCCCTGGGGACTCCTCAGATCGGTACCATGAGCAAGTCTCTGCCAAGCGCAAGGTGAGCAAGAGGCAGGCAGCATCCACCCTGGCACAGAAAACAGACTGGCAAGCAGGGTTGACAACCTGCTGGCACTAGAGCATCAGGCACAAAATGTCCCTGGGTCTAGGTAACAGGAGAGAAACAGAGAGGGGTCTTTTTCTGCACATGCCCATACACATACATGCACACTCATACACATATGCCTATACTCATCCCCTTACACACATTATACATTCATTCACACACTTGCATACATAAACTCATATATCCGTGCTCATACATCCCTACACACTCATGCACGCATAAATACACTACTCATGTGCATAAGAAACTCATTTACCCTCATACTTGTACACATACACACTTATATTCATGCACTATACTCACACATGTACACATATATAAACATTTACACACACTCATTCACTCATAGAAACACACTCATGCATACCTACTACTTGTGTAATATTCTCATTTCCATATACATGTGTGCACACATATACATTCATTACACAAATGTATACCACACTTGTATACACTCATTATACAGATACATACTTATGTTATACACATACAACACATATGTACTTACACATACATACATGCATGTACTCATTGTACACATTCATAAATCTCATTTGCATGCACCCACTCTTAGCCAAGCTCAAACACATTCAAACTCATTCACACACAGACATAATTACCCCACACAGTTACACACATAACTACATAAACTCATTCTCATATACCTTCATGAATATACAATCATGAATACATACATACTCATACATATCCATATACACACTTGTTAAATACATATACAAACTTATTTGTATACACACTTACACATTCATACACACATACACTCATACACACATAGTACATTTAGTCAGAAAACATGCATATACATTCAAATATACATATGTACAGGAAACCACCTATGCACAAATGCACAAAGATACAACATGATAACCCCCTGTTATTTTTTTTTTGCTAAGCCTTTTATATATGAGGATTTGTAAATCAAACACACATATTGTTTTCTCTGTATCTATAAATAGTAAATACACAGTGGTGGTTTTTTTTACATAAAAATTCCAAGAACTTTACATGTTAGAAAATGAAGGATTCTCTGTTCTTTTTCTCCATTTGGTACTTCCTTGAGTGGTATATCGTTGTATGGATGCCATATGCGTCTTCCCTGGGATTTCTTGAAGACAAAAGATTACGGCATCCAGAATTGTAGTCCATTTAGGCTGCTCTAAGAAAATGCCTTTGGAAATTTGTGAGAAACAGGTTCTCACAGCTCTGGAGGCTGTGAAGTCTAGGATGAAGGCACCAGCAGATTGGGTGTCTGGTGAGGGCCACGTCTGGTTTATGGGCTCCTCCCTCTGTGTACCCACACACGAGCACCCTTGCCTCTTTTCTAAGGGATCTAATCCCTTTCAGGAGGCTCCCTTAAGACCTAATTTCTTCCCAAAGGCCCCACCCTCTAATACCATCATGTTGAGAATTCAGATCTTAACATATAAATTGGAAATCATGCAAGCATTCAGACTACAATACCCAGTATTCCTAAAATCTTATTTTGAATCTCCTTTACAAATAGGTCCTTGCTGTGGCTCTCCCGGTCTCTTCTCTCCCTCTCCCCCTTCCCACACCTTCAGCCTCCAGACCAAGTAATAAGTGCCTGCTCCAGCCAGCTGATCTCCAGGCCACCCAGGAGGGCCATATTCCACAATATCAAAATGACTTCAAGGGTTTGTCCACCAGAGGATTCTGGGTCTCACCCTCAGAGTTTTAATTCCAGAAGCCTGGAACTTGAATCTCTAACAAGTTCCCGGTGATAATGATGCTGCTGATCCTGGGCCACATTCAAAAATATTGACATAAGCAAAATCCTTCAGCTCTAAATATGAAAGAATGTTCTTCCTCCTCCTCTCTGTAAGCCAATATTGTAACTATCTCCTACCCTATACCCTATAGTGTATGCCATGAAGGGGGAGGGGAAGAAAATAGCACTGAAAGGAGATGGTGTTGGTGGACTCACCTGCCTCACGTTCTTTGCCAGGTGGTGAAAATGATGATCGTCGTGGTGTGCACCTTTGCAATCTGCTGGCTGCCCTTCCACATCTTCTTCCTCCTGCCCTACATCAACCCGGATCTCTACCTGAAGAAGTTTATCCAGCAGGTTTACTTGGCTATCATGTGGCTGGCCATGAGCTCCACCATGTACAACCCCATCATCTACTGCTGCCTAAATGATAGGTGAGCCCCCACTCCCTTTTTAGGGCCTACAAGTAGCCATCCTAAATCAGCACAGCTGACTAAAACAGGAAGGAGTTTGGGGAACTGCAGCCATATAACCACACACTGTGTCCCTTGCTGATTGGGAGTTGTATCAAACCAGGGATCCATGGATTTCTGTAGCAACTGTGTTAGGGAAGAGGAAGTTGGGACTGATTCAAAACCTCCCTTGTTGATGCACACAAGGCAAGCCTGTAAGTTGGATCCTCCTGTCACATTCCCATCACACTGTATTTCTAACAGGACCAGTAAGAAAAAGAGAGTCAGGGCCTGGAAAACCACATTTCTTACTTTATCAGATTGGTGTAAGGACCCCTTCCCCATCTGCTCCCCCCCCCGAAAAGAAGCCAAATTCAGACTAGTCAGGGCAGGAAAAGCCCATCAGAAGTAGCTCTCATCAATAGGAATGCCTCAGTAGGGAAATCACCATTGCTGGCAAAGGGTGCCCAGCAGAGGCAGGAACACCAAGTTCTAACACAGTACTCATTCAAAGCAGCAGCCTCTGTGTGGGGCAGGAAGACAAAACACACACACACAAAATTGGGCTGGGAATGTGGTTTAGTGGTAGAGTGCTTGCCTAACATGCGTGAAGTCCTGGGTTCGATTCCTCAGTACCATAAACAGAAAAAGCCAGAAGTGGTGCTGTAGCTCAAATGGTAGAGTGCTGGCCTTGAGCAAAAGAAGCTCAGGGACAGTGCCCAAGCCCTGAGTTCAAGCCTCAGGACTGGCAAAAAATAAAATGTGGTCATCAACTGGGAAGAGCCTCCTGTAACTGAGACAAACTCAAGTACTATGAGTATGGGAAAGACATGCTCTTGAACTTGCCCCAGTCATCTCTGTTAATCTAATTTGCAAGAGCTTCTAAAAGCTTGACAACTTGCCTCACTTTTTAATAACAATTTCCCTGCATGTGTTTAAAGACAGATTCTGCTTGTTTAAGAGAGAAAGTGAAGGAGGTACCTCTGTTGTGAAATAGACTCACAGAGAGTCTATTTACAGTCATTGGACTTCATTGGGAAAGGATGAATTGCTGAAACAGGTTTTTACACCATGCGCCGATAGTCATGAGCACAGTGAACAGGGAGTGAGTGGTTTATGTTGACATTGAATTGACTCAGAGTCTTCTGACCTCACAGGATGCCCTGAGATGCCCTCAGAAGCAACGTGCACTTCACTGAACCTGGCTTCCGGTCCTATATTTGACTTTGCTGACTGGCCTTGGAATCTTTTTTTAACCTGTGAACTAATTTTAAAAAGAATGGCAGGGTGATGCTTGAGTGTGTCCGATGTTGAGAACTCGATGCAATGCTGGGAGTGTTCTCTGATAGCCCGCCAACCTCACAGTTCACTCTCCTTGGATTCTCTCTCCAGGTTCCGTCTGGGCTTCAAGCATGCCTTCCGATGCTGCCCTTTCATCAATGCTGGTGACTACGAGGGGCTAGAGATGAAATCCACCCGGTACCTCCAGACCCAGGGCAGTGTGTACAAGGTCAGCCGCCTGGAGACAACTGTCTCCACTGTGGTAGGGGCCCATGAGGAGGACCCAGAGGAGGCCTCCAAGGCTACACCCTCCTCCATGGACCCGACCTCCAATGGCTCCTCTCGCAGCAACTCCAAGACCATGACAGAGAGCTTCAGCTTCTACTCTAACATGCTGTCCTAAGTGGTAGCCTTCAGCAAATGCAACTACCACTGTCTTTGTCCTGCTTCATTCATGCATGGATATTTCTATGATCTGGAACCCATCAGAAACACCCTAACATTGGAGCTTTTGGAAAGGGTGAATGGTTTAGTGAAAATGTTCACTCTTAAAGTCAATCTGTATGTCCAACCTGGATGCTTCTGTCTTTGCCAGCCTCCTCCATCCATGTTGTGTGACCCAAGGCAAATCACTGAACTTCTTTGAGCTCTATAAATTGGCATGGCTGAATGAACTAGACTTTCCCTATATATCATGCCATGATTCTAGAAATGACTTTAGCTGCATGTGGGTGACTCATTTAAGGGTGAATTCTGTAGCGCAGTACCAGATCCAACAGATCTATTTGCCTGGAACTCCTGCAGTCATTCTCAGCCATGCTTAGGTTAGTCCTCTTCAGCTGGTAGTACACATCACTTGACAGAGTAAGCAAAAGAAGGTGCCACATAAAATCCAAGCACCCATGAAAAGAAAACACACAGTTACCTCCTTTTGGCATCCCAATACTTCAGTTCATTTAAGCATTTTGGAAATGAGGCTATCAGGTTCTTCTGCATTACATTCCTAGTGGCCATTCTGAGCAACCAGAAGATGCAAGCAGAAGCTGTCTGTCTACTAAAGCCAGCTAATCTCTGAACCAAGCAAGAGTCAGGAGACCCAGGTCACTTAGCCTCTTTCTGGTTGTTTTTTTTTTAGGTGGGTTGTAGGGCTTGAACTCAGGGCTTGGGTGCTGTCCCTGAGCCTCTTTATATTCAAGGAAAGCACTCTATCACTTGAGCCATAGTGCCACATCCAGTTTTCTGAGTGGTTAATTGGAGATAAGAGTATCACAGGGACGTTTCTGCCCAAGCTGGCTTTGAACCACGATCCTCAGATCTCAACCTCCTGAGTAGCTAGGATTACAGGCATGAGCCATCAGTGTCCAGCTCTTTTTTTTTAAGCAATAGCACTGAACTAGATGATCAAAGCAGCCCTTTGAATCTTAATGTTTCATGGGTCAATGATTATATAAGTTTTGTTTGTTTGTGTTACCAAAAATGGTAGTCTCAAAAAGAACAGAATGAACAATACCTAGCTCCTGAAGATGGGTATTCTCTGACATTCACCCATTTATTCTTGGTATACTCATTCCTTTTGGTCTTTGCCAGCACAGAGGACCATGGGTCAAAACCTGAAACTCTCCAGCAGGCTTTACCAGGCTGAATGCCACACCTGAGAACCCCATCAGGAAAGTTAAGCATGTGGGTTTTTATCAAAGTCCCTAACCTAGATTTCAACTTTTTGCAAGCAAGAGGCATATACTCAGATGTGCATAAAGAAAGAAATCTGACCCTGTAGCTGTCCTTCTAGGAAGAGATACCTTGCATCTTTCCTCAGACCTTTGGTCTCTCCATTCTGCTACATAGCTTTGCTTCTTTCCTGGCTGTCAAAGGTAGAATGACCCACCAATGCCAAAAGACAGTTAGCCTGCAAAGAGCCATGAACTGAATTCTTTGTGTCCTGATACACCTTTGGGGTCTCCAGCAGGTGAGCGTGCGGTCTCCTAGATCTGTACTGTGTCCAGATGTGGCTGGAAGCAAAAACTTTGGGTGACATCCTCCTCATCGTTTGAGTATGGATCCACTTGGCCTGCATTCATAGTGCTGAGGGAAGACCTATGCCACCCACACCAATGCAGCCCCCACCACTGTTGCTGACTTTAACCTGTCAAGGGCATTCACCTGCCCAGAGGAAGTTGTGTGACAATGGTATAAACCAGAAAAGCCTGAGAACCATATTCTCCAAAGAAGCATGAAAAATATTAAACAAACTAAGTGAAATTATCTCAGTACAGATCTCTCAATGGAAAACACAAAAATTTCCCAAAGCATTAGTCATGCTTCCAATCCAGAATCTGGCTAATGACATGATTATGGAAAGTACCTAAGAAGAAAGTATCAAGACTTGGGAGCCAGAAGAGAAGGTTAAAGTTGAACTCAATAAGGCTTTATTGAGCATCTGCTCTGAATTTTGCCTTGAGCTAGAAACACAAGAATCTCACCATGCCCCATTCCTAACAAATCAGACTAATGAGGGCAGACTTCCCGGCAGGTGTGAAGCATCTGAGAAGCAGATTCTTCACCACTCTCAACATGGATTATTCAGCTAAAGTCTGGGGCCATCAGAGAGCTTTTGCAATGAACAATTCCCTGAGATAATTCCAAAGGGAACCCACCAATCAGCCCAGGGGAACTAAAGGGATGTAGCTGAACAGTATCGCCAGATGCAAAATAAGGACTGTGTGGGTGGTGCCAGATTGTTTCAAATATGGCACAAAAGAAAAAAAAAAAAGAAACCTCAGAAAGTGCCAGCAAGTCGTCTACTGCCCCATGCTCCAAGGCCCATTTAACTTACAAAAATGTTGTTGGCTCATATATGTGAAGAACACCATGATTTGCACTGTGCATGGGTCTCATACTTATTATAGAAATGTGTCACCTTGTGTTAATCTCCTAAGCGTATTTCCTTGATGTACTGTTCAGTAGTAATAGAATAGGAGACATCATGGGGCCATCTTGGTTACATTACTCCCAACTGTGGGATCCAGTGTCCAGTGACTGTCAGTGTGTGTGTGTGTGTGTGTGTGTGTGTGTGTGTGTGTGTGTGTGTGTGTGTGCTATGCCAATCTTCTCTCAGTCATCACTGTTTCTCAGGGAGGAGCCCTGATGTATACCATGTACTTACAGTAACTATGGGTAGAGAGGGGACCTTTTTTACTTCTTGCCAGGATGCTAAGATACAGTACTTAATGGAATCTTGGGGAAAGGGTACTCAGGAGTTGACTCCATTGGCCTGATTTTAGGAGAGAAGAATGCACGTGGAGAGAAATTGTTCCTGGGGTTTCCATGTTTTCCTGCCTGGGGTCCTGGAAAGAATCTCTATACCGGAATAAAGTTTGGTTTTGACTGTCTCATGCCTTTGTCTCTTCTCTAGGAAGCAGCAGCACTCTCTAAGGGTCTAAATGAAATGGTGTCTGGAACCCTAACAACTCATACAAGGGTAGAATCCAACATGCAGTAAATTCTAAATTCTGTGATGGCATGCGTTGGCAAGGTCTGAGAAACTTCTAGGCTGAGAACTGGAAAGGTGAAGTAGAATTGTGTCTTGTGCCCAACCAGGTCACCTGTGAAGAGAATTGCCAGTTCAGGCAGTCCAAGAAGCAGACACCAGGGCATCATGAGAAATACAAGAGATGTACTGGGGTAGGGCTAGGTAAAGAGCACCTGGGCAAGAGATCAAAGTGAGAGGCAGCAAATGCTGTCAGACCGCCATGCAGATATGGTATCTTGGAGAGAAAAGGGACAGGAGGCCCATCAGCCAGCCCAACAGTGTGCAGATTTCCCACATAGAAGTCCTGGATTGGTAGAAATTGATAGATGAATACCCTACCACCCTCAGCTCCTGGTGGGGGAGGGGAGGGTGGTTCCCTCTGGAAAGTGTTCTGCACTTGAACCCTATCGTAGTTCCTGAAGCACTGCAGCTCAAGACCAATAGCTAATTGCACCCCTTGCTATTTCCTTTCATCACTCAAAAGAGGTGTCTTGTATAGCTGCATACTTGGCACCAGAGCATTTATCCAGTCCCATATTTGCAAGCAAACAGGAAACCCTGTAAGACTGAACACACAAGTGGTGATGCCTGCAAATGCAGGCAATATGCCTCCTACTCCTGAACTCCCTGGGCCCCCTTCAACCCACAGGCATGATCACAAGAGAGTGATGAGGAGCTGTTAGCAGAATTTCAGTGATGCACTGAGGAGTTCGAAGAAAATATAGTCAGGTATCCCATGTAGTGTTAGAAATACTACATAAATAAATAAATAATAAAGCTTGTTTCTATTTAAGTTTAGAAATGGTAAATGAGTATCTGGGATAAATCTCAAGTGGATCTAAAAGTCTCTTTTGAGATCCCTACGAGAAGTACAATGAAACCTAAATCCACTCAAGAGAATTCACTAAGTCTCTGCTCTCTAAAAAGAGAGCATTGCTTGCAGGAGCCTTGGGACCTTCCCAGCATAGGGAGAGGCAGATGAGCTCTGGGAAAAGTAGACTGGCTGCTGGAGAATGGAGCCCTGATTTGGAATAAAATCATAATTCACCTCAATCCTCTGTGTGTTAAAGTTGCAGAAAGCCATTAGACATTTTTGGAACTAAAAACACCAAATTCATGATGAAGGAGTGCACTTACCCTTCTCTCATTAAAGAAAGACTGCAACTTAGTTGTAACTGGATAAATAATGCAAGATGTGAGGTGCAGACATTTCTACAGAAATGCAAAGATTTTTCATTTACTCCTGGGCACAAAAGGTTTGCACCCTTGGGAACTATACCTGGCCTTGGTAATAGTCTCCCTTGAGATCCCTCAATCCCCTTGGTAAACAGGAGGAGTGCTGAGTATATGGATCTCCTCAGCTCTGAAGCACAGCGTAGCATTTCAGTTATGGCTCCACACAGGGAATATTCCACTCTTTCATCATCAAAGGTGACATCAGCATCTAATTACAGAACTGCTTTTTCTGACCCCCACAGACAATGCCCTGAGACACTGTCATGTGTTTCTACCCAGTTTGGGTAGAAACAGAAGGAAGAAAGATCACAGAGCAATCATATCACATAGCCGCCTATCTCATGACACCAGATTCAACATAAAAGGGCTGCAGGCCTTGGTCCTGGCTTCTCTCGGGCAGGGCAGCTTGCAAGGAGACAAGATTGTTCATTAACAAGTAACCAAAGGCTATGGGCAATGACACAAACTCTATGGGCTGCCAGCTCTATCCTCATCCCCGTCCCATCCACGGTAGCTGTTTGTATTCTTTTTGCTTTGGAAATGTTCATTCCAATTCAAACCCAGGTGCATTGTGTGCACCTGTCTCCTTTCTTTTAGCTTTTTTTTTCACTTGTAGTTTCTGTTCAATCCCCAATCTT